GTGTGTGTGTGTGTGTGCGTCAATACTGCCTCCCAATCTCTCCTCGGAGACTCTCATAATGCAGTGATGGATTCTGCTTGGTTCGGACAGGGATGACTACCTTTCTAGGCCACGCTGCTTGCTTAGACTCCTTCGGTTTGCTGCAGTGATTTATGGGCTTCATTTTGAGTGTACAAGACCATATTTACTTGTGAATAACACCCATGTAAAAATTGTTCCACCACAGTGTTTAAAAAATGTGTAAAACTAGAAACTAATGCGCATAGTATGTGTGTTAAGATAGGGGTTTTCAATGAAATATGAAACAAACACCTGTTTAGTCACATATTAATATGAAAAAATAAGCAATATTCAAACTCGGGTGAGTGAGAATTCTACTATTTTTGTTTTAAAAGGATCAAGGAGTGCTGATTCAGTACACACTGTCTGAGTTAAATCTTGGAAAGCTATACAGAAAAGTCACCTTAGGTTCCTCTGAAATCCTGATAGAATTCAGACAAATATATGCTAGGAGGATTAAAAAATATTTTTAGGACTAACTAAATGTTCCTTGCTGTAAAACATACACTTACGGTGGGCCAATCAACAGACAGATAACCACAAACCTCTTGAAAGAGGATTTTATTGAATACCAATTTGTATTCAATTAACAGCAGCATTCCCATTTCTGCGCGGTGCTGTCATGCTACACCTAGCTTTCATTGTGTAAAGGCGTCTAATTTGATTTAAAAGTTTTGTTCCAGAATCTTTTTTAACCCTTGAACCGCAGGAGGAGTTCACTTTTCAGTCATTGTGTAAGGTTTCCGAGACTGAGGCCCCCTGAGGTAACCCTGCCATATCAACAGAGACACACTGAGAGGAAGAGGATCACAATGTGCGGCTGGGCTAGGAGAGCTGGGTGACACTTCAGCCTCGATCTGCCAATCAGCCGACACAGAAAAGAACATGGAGGAAAAAAAGAGAACAGAACAGAAAAGAAGAGTGCAGGGTACACACTCAGAGAGCATCGGCTGGCAAATGTGACAAAGAGTGGCCTTCAGTTAAAATCTCTGTTGTCAAATAAGAGGGATCTTTTTAACTGTATCTTCCATTACAAGCAATACATATGTTAAACAAGACTGACATTCCTGAAAAGCATTTTTTTTAAACAAACAGGTGCTGCAAAGTGCTTCGAAATACCTTGAAATAAAGTAATTTGGCACATAATCAACGCACAAAATAACAAGGATTGTGGGCAGCCCTGAGGAAGTTATCAGAACTGTGAAATGTGCTGCAACATTTTTCAGCTGCCAATGAGTCCTTTGGAATCCCAAATACATATTTCATTTTTGACCATAACTACATGCTGAACATTGCTTTAGTCTTACAATTTTCAATTTCCTATTACTAATGCACTAAAAAAAAAAGAAAATGATCTTTATATGTGGAACATGCAGTAAGTGAGCTTGACTTGACCATCAAACAGTGTTGAGAGGGCAACTTGAAGTACCTAAATTAAGATAATGCATTAAGTAATGAGACCAGTGGAGCAGTGAATATAACTCCAAAACATCTAAAGGGATCCTCAGCTGCCAAATTCATCAATTTAATTTGCACCAAACTCCAGGGCTCCAGTTTCTAAGTTGGCCTAGTGCTTGTTTGTGCAAATGGAGAGCAGAGGAAAAACGGTGTATTTTCTTCTTATGTTGAAATTCTGTAAAGGAGCATGTTGATCCAAAATGGGCTTGATCACTCTGGTACTTGTTTACTTGTGCCGACTTACCCCTAACCATTTACTCCTTACTGCTTTAGAGGGATTGCAAATGAAGCACAGTTACAGCTGAAATCCTTAAAAGATAAAAAGTGTACAGCAGAAGAAGAACAGAACAATGTTTATGAGTTAAAGATCAGAAATTAGGAGACGTGATACATTTTCAATATAATCATAATATACAGGTATGTTTGTTGTGCAAAAATGGGACGAGGAAATGGTATAAATTGATCAACTAACAACATGCAAGTGAGGTTGTTGCTGGAAAAATGCTTTTTGACAGTTCTGAGAGCTAGAAAGCAGTGAATAACTCACGTTGACATTGCAAAAAACTAAGCGCACAGCAGGCTAAGGTTGGTGTAGGAAACTTCACAGCAGACGCCTGTAGCAACAGATGCCATGAACATGTATGGTCAAAACAATATCACAGAGCACAGGCTGCTCATTTAGAGCAGGAATTCTCGGGGCGCAACACATATAAAAGCAAATTAACCTCAACGTCCCTATTAATCAAGTGTGTTAGCTTGTGAGCCAGGTAATAACACTACAGTTACTGGGTGGCAGCGCAAGTAGCCAAGGTGAAAAGTTAATTAAATCTATTGCGAATAACAGAAAAAAAAATATAACTCTACACAGAAGCTACAACATGGGTAGAAGCACATTGTTACATTTGTATGATACTTTAGAGGCTGACTGACAATAACAAAAATACGAAGAGAGGAAGAAAAAAACATATGCAACACCATCCACTGGCTAGAATTAAACCCAGGATATTGTAAACAAATGTTGTAATATAGAATGATTGCATGTAAGGGAAAAATTTATTTACTGAATGCAGTGCAGCGAACAACATCCAGGAATCTGTGCCGCAGTTCAGAATACATCTATGGGTTCATCATGTTGAATGCAACGGGTTGTTTTTGGTACTTCATGTATTAAAGCAACATTATGTAACTTTTCTACCTTAGAATAACAGCTTCAAAGTAGTTTTGCTACACTGAGTTATAATAGGCTAAATGGTGCCTCTGCCATCCTCACGGTGCATCCCGTACTCCCGTTTTTGTATGTAATTTCTGAAACGCTTTACAACAGTAGTCACATGGTACCAACTATGTCACAGATTTTTGTTAAACTGTATCATTTTTTAAATGATGAAAATGATTCCTAGGTTTCCCTCTGCTGTCCTCCGCTTCAAATCTCTGCAATATTTTCCTGATGGAGAGCAAAATAACTTCTGTGAAATGTAGCTGCTGTTAGCTATTTAGCTTAGCCGTACACACTGGGGGAGTGTTTGTGTTAACAGTGCTAGCATGATCCAAAGTTCTTTGGACTGCCAGGGAGACAAACTTTTGCTCATAAGTAATGTAATCATAACAAATGCAGGTGTACAGCTGTCCATATTTACGGCAGTAGTATTCTAACTGGGGCTGCCAAATTGTAATTATAAGTCTTATATTACAAATCTACATTTAGGGTTCTTCCACTTCCCAATAATATATGGTCACCTGCTTTCTACTGTAAGTGAAAATATATAGCCTGCCAAAGACATATATATATATATATATATATATATGACTACTTAATGAACCTAGGGTATATTTTGTACAGCTGAAGTTCTAAAAGCAGTGAAAACCACACAATTAAAGGTACACTGGGTTTTGTCACAACAGAACAGGATAAAGCTTTTGAGGGAAAACCCTGATGACTATCTTCTGTTGCTACTACGTGCCCATAAGGTAGTAGTTACTTCAGCAGAATACAGTGTACCTGTTTCTCCCTCCAGAGCAGCACTCCCTCCTCAATCAGCTGCTGCTTGAGTTGCAAACCCTCGTCCAAGGTCCTCATCTGGCCCTCCACGTATGCTCTCTCTCTCTGTCCCAGATTCCTGGAGGAGGAGAGCGAGACAGAGGATGCACAGTCCCATCATTACCGAGAAAACGTTGGCCACCCCTGCCATGGTCACTGAGATGGTGCAATCCAATTTTTAAGGGCCAACAATGCAGCCCGGAATCCAAATGGGAAAATAGAAGAGTAAATAAGATGGGGGCTGATGCTCTGTGGCTGAACTAAATTGTTTTTGAAGTCTGGCAAACACAATATGAGTGTGGACCTTGTGAAAACATAATGAGATATACTCTGCTCGTATGTGGTTTTGGGCCGAATAACAGTGAATGAAATAACAGAGGGCTGTCAACAAAAGAAGTGGGTTACTGTATTCGAAGTTACATTTACACAGTGGGCTATGTTTCAGCATCTCAGTGTGGTCAATCTTTGCAGTGCAGCTCAGACGATGATAAATATGACCTGGCAGGAGTCTGCGTCCTTATAAATATTTGTATTTATTTATATTATGTATGCAGTATGTAATTTGTATCCTGCAGAAACTAAATTATCTGCATCAAACACGTACACTGGAAGAGTTTACTGAGAGTACGATTTACAGTGCGAACAGGAAAGTGTGATGAGGTGGTGAGTCAGATGGGTCTTAATCATGAATGAGCTCTCAAAAACAATATTGTGATGCATATACATTACATTACAGGAGAAGATCTGAACTAGATCAAGTATTTAATCATAGTGACACCATGCCCCCTGGTGGCACAGTGAATGAGTCACTATCACATGAGTGCAGCAAGTGAACAGTCTATCACACTGAAGCTATGATAAATACCTTTATGTTACTGTTATTTTATTAAGATCTGCATTTTTATCAAATTGCCCCCAAAAACTGTGTTTGAGAAATTTCCCCAATACAATGGACAGGCTGGATATTTATTTATTTAGCTGTGCGTGGGCCTCCATTGCCATATTTTGACTCAAAATCTGCATGTGTTATTTTATAAATATTGAATCTCAGTTTTGATTCAACTGACCAGCAAGTGTTCTGGCAGTGAGCGTGGCTGTTGTATTCATCTGAAGCATCGCAGCAATCTGGCACGAGACACAGGAGAAACCAATCCAACGCACATACAAGAGAACAGAAGAGCATTTAACGTTATCAGCAAGGAGAGGTGCACAATCTGTGTTTCTCATTCAAAATGTGATCAATACATGATTTGGCAACAGCAATGAACACAGACACAATACTCAACAAAAACATAGCAACTATGAATCATTGAATTTCAGGTACTTTTGGAGGATGGTATGAGTCACTTTTGCCCATAAAAAGTGAAAATTCAACCACTATACTCTTTCAGTTTCAGATTAAATCATCAACATTTTGTCAAGAGACAGATGAGAAGATTACCATTCTCATGTCTGTATGCTAAATATAAAGGTACCACCAAGTGCTGCTTATCTTAGCTTAGCATAAAGATTGGAAAGCTGCTAGCTTGGCTCTGTATAATGGTAACAATATCTGCCTACCAGCACATTCAAAGCGCACTAATTCACGCGTTAAATGTTGTTTGTTCACTGCACACGAATACTGAAGAGTAAAAGACAGAGCCAGGCTAGCTGTTTCCCCGTTTCCAGCATTTGTGCTAAGCTAAGCTAACCGGCTGCTTGTTTTAGCCTTGTATTTAACAGATACTTTAATTGATATGAAAACTACTAATTATTAGTGGTAGCCCTAAATAAGAGTATACTTAAAATGATCACATGATGACACAAAACAACATTGTGCTCACTTTTAGTGTAATTCTGGTATTAGCTCCAATGACCAATATTGACCAATACTACCCATTAAATGGCATATCTGCCTGGCTTACACCAATTGTCTTCCACTGATAAAACAACAAATGTCTCTTATGTGATGTTGTTGATCTAGACCGACATTTCATCCTCAATGAAGATCAGATCTTTGTGTTGCCGTGATATCTCTCTCTCTCTCTCTCTCTGCTTCACAGAGGGTCTCTTGAGTTCAACCACTTATAAGATCAGCTGCATGGTGTTTTGTAAGTGCTCAGATCTGGCTTTTGCTCAGATGTTTCACTCAAGAGAGTGGGCACAGTGTGATATTTCTCAATTATCCAGGACCCCATTGGTGACCGGTGGAACAAGAGCTTTAGAACCCAGAAAGGGAGGCCAATGAAAATCTCTCAACAACCAGCTGAGGGGGAAAAGCGACAATGTGTTAGCTTCTAAGTGGCTCCATTCAAGGCAGGGAAGGTATGAGAAGACAGGTGGGAGTACAATAAAAGGAGGGAGGAAAGGGAAAAGGAAGCTTTGAGAAATATTCCACTACTGCTCTTTTATTCTTTATTCCCTCAGTTTTTTTTTTACCAGAGGAGGTTGCATGCCGTCTAATGCTGCTGAAAGCACCGGTGACAGAGAGGAAATGTCGACAACGGAATGTATTGATTTTATCCAAAGTGGAGAGCTACAGGAGAACAAAAGTGGAGTGTGGCAGATTTAACAAGAAAGAGTGGAGAAAGGCCTTGAGCAAAGGGATGTTTTTCGAGGAAAACTGTGTGAGGAGAGTGAGTGTGTGCATGTTGGATATGTGTGCATAAGAAAGCCAGGTTTTGTTTGCTGTGTCTACTTCATCTGTTTGTTTGTACTACAAAAGCAGTGACAGTTTGTACACCAGCATGTCAGCTTCTTGACATCATGTAAAATATGAATTGTTGTCCATGTTTGCAAAACACTCAAGAGGGGAAAAAGCAAACAGAACGACGTCTTACTTGTTAAAAATAATGGACGTAAACTATTTTGATTAAAACCTCACAACTACCAATGAATTAAGTTGCAAGATATTAGAGCACATTCGGCCTCAAACCATTCCACCAGTTATTTTGAACAAATAAGACAGGGATTCATTTTGTGCGAGAATAAATGTGTTCACTGGAGCACTCGCAGAGCTGCCCTTGTTGTCCTTGAAAAAACGCTGGTGCAGAAAACATTTCTGATCCGTCGCCCCACCTCCAACGATTCTGTAAAGTTTATTAAAGCCACCTCTCAGGAGAGTATTATTTCATCCCGTATAATGCAATATAAAAAGCCTTACCACAGATGCCGTCATTGACTCGTGATGATGGGATGTAGTGTGGGCGGAAACCCAGATTGGTGCAGTAGAATCGGCCACGAGGACAGGCTGAGGTGCCTATATGAAGGCAGGAGCAGAGGTCAGCGCTACGTAATAAACTAACTTCCAGAAACAAATGAATTGAATCAAAACTACTCATAACACACACACTGGGGCTGATGCCGGTATCCCTTTTTAACCCAAAAATGAGCGTGTCTCAAACCCTTGTTGAGTAGTGGCAGCAATTTAAGGCCGTTTACACCAACCCTTAGAGGACGAAAAGTGTCTTGTTTTTGAAGTGAGCTTCCTTTGCCTAAACGTAAAACTATGAACTAATTTCATCCTTGTTTTGATAATGGATACTTAAAAAATGCCACCGTTTCGCAACTTTTGGGTGTGTTATACTGAATTTTGTAGTGTTTTTAAGTGTCACTGCATTACATACGTTATACTAGGGCTGCAACTAACGATTATTTTCATTCTACTTTAATCCATCAGTTATTTTCTTAATTGATTGATTGATTGATTAAGTATTAACCTGAGCTCTGGGAAGTTTTATAACTCTATATTTTCCTGTTTCCACTGCACTGGACTGACTGCATCAGCTGCCATTATGTGGAGTCAATCACTCCCAGATCTTGGTGTGGGCAGAGAATATTAGCAACATGCTTAATTCTGATTCATTCCCCTCTTCATTTTTCTGTCCCCTTTTGTCCGTAATGAGCAGAAAAGTTCATTAGGGTGCCTATAGTTAAGCTGCAGACAGCAGCAGGGGTTGGACTGACAGCAGCAAAGGCAGATTATCCCCCATCTGATCAATTCTATCTATCACAGTAATCTTGGATAAACACTGGACATGCACAACTGTACACTGCAGTGAGTGGTCTTGCTCCATTAAAGCACAAATTATGAGTAAGTTCAGTAATTTAATGACCTCTTGGGGGGGGGGGTTCTGATGTTATTTGACAGCAGCAATTAATCTGCAATGTTCAATCTCAGCGGTTTAGAAGGCTTCTAATTACCCAAGGAACAACGGATTTACATGCCGATGTGCAGAAGGAGAACTTAGAATCCCTGATGAGTTTATGATGATTACGATGATTATGTTTTGCAAAGGCGTTATGTTTTATACTCCCATGAGGGAGGGGCCAGGGGATGCCATGTTACCTCAATAAAACGTGTATATATATATAAATTCATTCATGGCCATGTCTCATAAGGGCAGACTGCAAATGGCTGGTCTGAATGGCATATGGTCTGTTTTAAAATGTGTCTGTCTGAGTTTATTTGAAAGATATTATCCAAGCCAGGGCATTATTTATACCAGATAAGAAAGGAATAAATTAAACACAGAAGCCAACTTGGATGTCTACTGTGATGTACATTTAGGTGTCCACATGCTCAAACATGTCGATTATAACTTTAATTACACAAAATACACACAGACAAAAACAAACAGCAGTACAACGTTACGTCAAGGCAAATATTACGTTCAGTGTGCACAGGTGACAGTTTGCAGACATTGGCAAACAGACAGCCACTTGCACATGGGTTCATCTTTTACCTGGTTCATCAGAGCCATCTTCACAGTCGCAGTAGTCATCGTTCACCTGCTCAAAGGGGATGATCTTCGACCCATCAATGCACATAAAGGACTTCCTCTCCCTGTAGAACCGCTTGTCTGTTACAGAATAAAAACATTACAGACTGATGACCTTGAACTGGAGCTGGAAATGTAACCAAAATAAAGAGAAAGCTTAGGACCACATTTCATATCTGCAGCATTTCAGAATAAAAGCTCGGTGCTTGGGTCCAGAGACTGTAAACTGTAAAAACTGTCAAACTTAAAATAACTATAGGTCTGCTATCACTGCTGCTACCCTTTACTAACTTTAAACGCTGTGTACATTGGTTACAAACTATCTACAGCAATGACAACTTGACGAGAATATGCCACGGGTTGTCTGTGTTGAAGCCAAGGAGCTGTTAAAGCCACTGCTCGTTACACCATGCAGTGTTATTCCAGATGTGTTCATAGCTGCCGAGCCTGAAGCTAGCTACAAGGGGACAGTGAACTTACAGGACGAAGATATTCCTCTTATTTTACGAGAGTCTACGAAGCCACACCAAAAGCAAGCGGCGATAATAATGTGGAGACGCATGTCAGACAGCGGAATTGTAAAACGCTGTGCCCTGCCTTCAGAAAACCCGCTCAAACCTGTTTCAAACTCATGATATACATCCAGCATTTAAACTGCCCATGCCCTGACTTCCTGAAACATGCGGTCTCGTGACGCCTCTGAGGTTTCCTATTGGTTTTCAGCCGAGCCGCATGTGGTTCGTTTGACCAATCACGAGTGAGAGTGGCTTTCGGGGGAGGAGCAACTGAACATTTCAATACTAGGATGTTCCAACGTGTTCTTCTCGTTTATAACTAATACAATGGAAATATAAGGATGGGTAATGGGAAATATATAGAGGCTTTTTAATTGTATCTTACTGTAAATAGTGGGCTCTATAGGGATTAGCTAAAAACGAGTCGGAATACATGTCAGGAGATAAATGATCTGTGTTTTTAGAAAGACAAACAGCTGTATGACATTGTGAAGTGCTCACTAAATGTGTGTTTGAAGAGGAAAAAGTTATTTTTGAGTTAGACTAAATTTAAAGATAGATAGATAGATAGA